TCTCATGCTCATTGCTTCAGAGATGCTATCTAACCATCTCATCCTCTGCTGTCCTCTTCTCGTTTTGCTTTCAATCTTTCCCAGCATCAGGGACTTTTCCAAAGAGTGCTCTCTCCAGATAGTTCCCAGAATTCCCCAGCCAGCACAGCTATTACTGGTCTGCATGATGCTAGGCTAAATATTTCAGATGCCAGAAATATTGTGCTTGCTCTTCATTTTTATATTCAAACACAGGCCCTGATCTCATATACCAGTCTTAAGTGCAACTCCTGGTTTTCATTCTCCAAGACATCAGGATATATCCACCTTTTTAGGATTCTGGTTTTCCTACAGACATGCCTTGTTTCTGAACTTCTATGTGGACATTTACAGGCTCAGAGGCTAGCTAGTTCAGGTGTTTCTCCTCTTCAAACTGAGTTTGATCCAGTGCTCTAAAACCCTGCTCTCTGCTTCTTATAACATTTTAATTACAGGCTAGGTAAACCCTGAGTCATTCTATCCATCAGCTCCATCTCTAAAAGTGCTCTCAAGGTTCATATTAAAGAAGACAGCAGTAAAGAAACAGAACTTTAACAAAGAGAACAAATTCTTATTTTTAGCAACATATCTTGAATAAAGTATTTTTAGTGCCTCTACAGATTTTTACAGAAATGTAAGCTGATTGTCCTGGACAGAGAACTGAATGATAAGGCAACTACATGGATACAATTGCTGAAGAAATCCAAATGAATAATATCCAGCTTGAATGAGCAATCTTACCCTCAAAATATATAGCAAAGCTGCAATGGCACATCCTGTTACATGCTACAGGAAGGGCTTGGGGGACATTGCTCTTTAAAACTACAGTAATTGTATTCCACTCATGCTCCATTTTTACTGCCAGCTGTAAACCAGCTCTACATGCATCATAGTTTGCATCAAAATGCACACAGACCAAGCCCATATCCAACAATATTGTAGTAGTGTAAATTTATAGCTTTGACAGGTTTTTGCAGGGGTGCATATAGAAACAAGTGAGAGAAGAATTAAAATATTTCTGTAAAATCAGTTTTTAAAAGTCAATAGCACTTCCCCCAAAATTCTCAAAACTGCAGGAGAGTTTGAAAACCAAAACTAAAATTTCATTTTCTTTCAAGTAAGCTGCTTTCAACAGAATGAACTAATACAGAGACAGCCATATCTTCAAAGCAGTTTATATAGCTTGATCCAACTGTAACAATGGAGAGCTCAAGATTATTAATACTCTTCAGATTAAACTAGAAAGAGGAGCTGAAAATAGTAGGATAAATAAGAACAAATATCTTTCAGTTTTTCTCCAATAATTGGGAGTAAGTTAATGAAAAGCATAAACCTCCTATCTCTTGTTACCTCAAATTTTAACAAGGCTATGGCCCATGAATGACTTCTAAAACTGGATGGAATATCACAAAAGAAACGAAAGGATATCTGAGCTCTGTCCCTACTTTGTAATTCAGACACTATTGTCCTATTAGAACATAGCAATGCTTCAGGAGGAGGAGTTCATGAAGCTTAGAAATAGTTCAATTATTTATACACACTGCAGGAAGAAATTTTTCAGTCAAAAGAAACACACTGACTGACAATATTGGCTCAAGGTGGTAAAGTGCAAGCCTCACGTAAAACCAAGGCCCAAAAGCAAAACACAGCTCCACTTAAACACAAAACTATGAGCAGTCATCACCATGATACCTAAAAAACTCATTTTTATTTAACAATTTTTTCCAATTCAGATCTCAAGAAGTGAAACTAGAGGTCTTTCTAGTGATTACAAATAATACTAAAATTAAGTAGGTCTATGCAAGATACAAAAAAATCTTCCCTTTGATGTTTAAATAATATTAATAGAATAGAATATGTGTAGCTCAGGGTTGAACTGTGGAGTCCTTGGGGTTCTCTGAGCTTGGTTGTT